TTTTATCTTTTGCTAAGTATTTTTCAGTTATGGTTATTAGGTTTTAAGATTTTATGGGAATTAACTCTAATAGTTCCAATAAACTATTCATGAATAATTACAAATGTTCTCCATGGGATATTCATTAATATTCAAATATGCAAAACTATTACATAAAATAATTAAGATTTAAGGAGGATTCAGGATATCATCTTTATTCAGTAAAACTTAAAATATATTTAGCCTTGTTCTAAGTACAGCCACTTAATATGCTAGACAACGTTCCTTGAGTTAATAATGCAAACTTTGTAGCATAGAATAAATCTGAGCACTACCCATGCTTTTTCCTTTTGGCATGGCATTTTATTATTTTGAATATGACAAGAATAAACTGAATCTTATGAATAGTGTTATATCTCTATGAATACAGAAATTCAATTATCCTATAGGACAAGTCACATGTCCTCTGACACAATAACAGTTACGCCATACACCTCTTGTGTCACACTCTGCTAAGTACACTGAAAGAACTCATATCTGTGACAGCAGACATGATGTCACTGTAGCTGTGATAATTCATCAAGGTAAGTGTGCTGCAGAGAAGGGACATCACCCAAGTTCCACATAACAATAGAAGATTATTGAAACATCACATAATATTCCATAGCTATGTTAAACATGTCAATTAAAACGTAAAAAGAAGTAATAGACAAGTTCCATTTCAACTCCTTCATATACATCAATAATTCTTTGTTGTTGTCATTAAGTCATTTAAAATGTACATGGCATCTGTCCTATTAAAATCAATCATTTTATTTATCTCCAAAAATATATTATTCTTCCAAATATACAAAGCATACAGGGGAAAAAATGACTTAATGTAAAAGTAGTTTTCCAAGTGTCTAAGACAGTAAGAATCTTGTTATGGAACTTGTTAAAAGTGCAGGCTCTGAGGCTCTGCCCCAGCCTGCTGGGGCAGACTTCCCTGGAGAGAGGCCTGGTGAGGCTGGTGTGAGAGCCGAGTCTCCGCCCCAGGAAGGAGTTCAATAGGCTGGAAACCCTGCTGCCTGCCTCTGCTGCCTCACTACTCAGATGAGGTCCTTGGACCAGCAGCATCTGTGTCACCTAGACCTTATATTCAAATGTAATTATCTTAGCCTAATCCCAGACCTTGAATTGGAATTTGCACCTTAACAAGAGTCTATGGGATCTGTGGGCATATTCGTTTGAGAAATGGGGAATACTGTAGTTTCCCCAATGAAAATATGGCTTTTGGGGCTGGAGAGATGGCTCAGCAGTTAAGAGCACTGGCTGTTCTTGCGGAGGAGCTGGGTTTGGTTCCCAGCATCCACATGGTGGCTAACAACGTCTGAAACTCTGGTTCCAAAGGATCTGATGCCCTCTTCTGACTGCCATGGGCATTGCATGATAAGGATGCACTTACATGCAGGCAATACACTCAAACACATTAAAAAAATGAAAATAATGAAATATTTTTTTTAAAAATGTGGCTTTCTACTTCTTGCAGAATCCCCTCCTCTTGGGAGTCAACTTCCTCAGTGGTGCAGCCACTGGTAGGTTGACCTTGCCTAAGTAACTCCTTGCCCATGCTCAGACAAACAGCCCTAATTAAATACACTGGGACACAAAGATGTGAAGTGGGGTGGGGAAAGGGGGGGCGCATACGACGATGACGGACTTGGGAAAAAGATTCAGTGGGAGGGGGATAAAAGGGTAATGGGGAAGAGTGTTAAAAGTACATTAAATACATATATGAAATTGTGAAAGAATAAAATTTAATAACAAAAAGTCCCTTCCTCAAGTCTCAGAGACAAAATCAGAACTGAATTCTGTCCACAGTATAAGCCCCTCAGTGATGGAGACAAACCCCTTTGGTCATTCTTGTATGCAGACAGGCTGTTCCTCCCCTCTAACGCTGAGGCAGTTTCTCAAATGGCAAAGCAAAATCCAGTGGGTTCCCCTGGACTCTGGTCTGAGCCCCTCCTCACTGAGTCTCACCTCCACAGGTCTTGCCATCACTCCTCAGCACACGGCCGACCCCACACTCACAGCGGTGTGAGTTTTTGAGGTTCACACAGATCTCACTGCAACCCCCATTGTTCTGCTCACATTCGTTTTCATCTGTAGAGGAGAAATCATACCATTACCATGTTGCTGAACAACCTAACGCTGTCCAAGTCCCTGAGCAGAATCTGAGTCTTCTCAGATGCTGTGGGACAACCTGAGACCCCCTCACTGTGATCCAGCACCATCACTTCTACCAACCTGGTCTCTCCCTAAACCAACCAAGTGGTTTGTTGGGACCATGCCCTTGAATATCGAATTGTGACTTAAATAAATCTGGTTTCCTTTATAAACTACCAAGCTTCAGGTATTTCATTATAGCAACAAAGGGATTAATAGTTGAAGAAAATTGAGAATAGAACTTTCCAGGTGGGCTACAGTCACGGGAAGGAAGCTCCCTGCCTGAGGCACAGAGGGAGGGAGCAGCCCTCACAATGCAGGCCAAGATCCTGCAATGGCTGAAGTATGGATTTATACTTCCCACACAGTCGATATAAGAATCTTGAAGCTGAGAAACTGATGTATAGCCTTTGCCTGAACTGGCTTAGTGTCTGTAATGTCTAACAGAAACGTGAAAAACTGTTCTGTGGCAAAAAAAAAAAAAAAACCAACCAAACAAACCCTAAACCAGGTGGTGAAGGTGAAGAGCCATAGAAAACCCCTCACTGCAGAAGATGGTGTGACCTAAAACACTCCAAACAGATAACAGGAGGCTTTGAATTGCACATAAAAGAATATTCCAGAACTCTGGGGCTGGAGAGATAGCTCAGTGGTTAAGGGCACTGACTACTTTTGCAGAGGACCCGGGTTTGATTCCTAGCACCCACATGGCGGCTACAAACCGTCCTTGACTCCAGTTCCAGGGGATTGTTAAGCCCTCTTTTGACTTCCGTGGCATTGCACAACATGGGTGCACTCACATACATGCAGGCAACCAGAAATCTATACTACAAGCATTTTAATACCAGAAAAATGAAAGAAAAGACAGGAAGTAAGATAAGTGTGTAAAAAGACAAAGCAGAATTGAAAACGAGCCAACATTTAGAACTTGAGGAAGTAAAAAAATATAGTAGGTAAGACTAGGATCTTTTGGGGGTAATGGGAAGTGGTACTGAGACAGGGTCTCATGTAGCCCAGGCTGGCCTGAAAGGTGCTATGCAAGCAAGGTTGACCTTGAACTCCTGATCTTCCCACTTCTACTTTCTAAGTGCTGCGATTACAGATGTGTGCTCTTGCTAGGCTCTTTTCTGAGCCCCATCCCTCGCTATACTGCCTGCATGAGGGAGGGTAGGAGGCCAGTGGCTTCCAGAGGGGCTGTGGCCATAACTGCATGTGGACTCCTTCCTGGCCTTCATTACAAGCCTGGACTGCCAACCACGGGACTGAATTTTTAATGTTTTAATGTAAGGGAGAAATGGACTTCTACTGATTTAGGCCATTGCTACTTCAGTTGTTATTTATGGTGTAGGCACTCTGAGCAAAGTAACCCCATCTGCAAGCTTCACCCTAGTGAAAATGTCACATACACAGTGAAGCATTGTTTTTATGTTAATTTTAAGCACACAAAACAGTACTAGATGGTATAGAGTTACATACACAAAAATAAATAATGAGAGCCCAGAAACAGGGACAAACACAGGCTGACACCAAACAGCAGTCACGCTCTGAGTGACAGGATGAAGGAATGGAAGCGACTTAGTTTGAACATCAAAACTCCACTCACATTTTAAAAAAAGAAGCAAATTTTAACCACTGTTACATCTGGGTACCTGCATATGTGCTTTATTATTTTCTTACCTAAAAAAATTAAAATCATTGCTGGGTGTGGTAATGCCTTATCTTTAATCCCACCATCCCTCAGGAGGCAGAGGTAGGTGGGGCTCTGTGAGTTCAGGGCCAGCCTGGTCTATATAGCAAGTTCCAGGTCAGTCAGGGCTGCAGAATGAGACCCTGTCTCAATCATCAATCAATCAAATAAATACATAATTAAAATTATTGGGCCAGCGAAATGGCTCAGCGGCTTGCTGCCAAGCCTGATGACTTAAGTTCAATCCCCGAGACTCATGTATTGGAGAGAACCAACTTCGACAAGTTGACCTCTGACCTCCACACATACGCCCTGGCACACAGGTGCAAACATATAAATATATATATAAACACACAATAAATAAATGTAATGAAAATTTAAGATCATTCATTTGTATAAAAACTAAATGAGAACTAAAATTGACATGTGTACACAAACACAGGCCTCCACCCATTATCCCAGAGGCTCTCCATCTCTCTGGAGCATAGAACTTAAGTAGGAACTTGGGGCTTTTGAGAGGAAAGATGTCCAAGTCATATTGTCAAGGAAAAGAGACAGATGTGATGGTTTGCTGCCTTGACAGAAAAAGGAATGGTCAATAGACATGTATTTGCATTTTTATATCTGCCTGAAGGAACCCTGGAAAAACATCTAAGAAAACATTAAATGCTTTTGGAAGATAATGAATTTATAGTATCTCTCAATTTGGATGTCAAATTTTCAGGGTTTTTTTGAGACAGAATCTTGCCTATGCAGTCCAAACAGGCCTTGAACTCTTGCCTCAGCTTCCTGAGGGCAGGAATTTATAGGCATGCCCCACACCTGACTAAAAGATGCCAATGTTCATCAAAAACAGATTTACTCTCTATTTACAGTTAATAAAACAGACAAAGTTTAGTGTTATAAGTTGTCCCAGACATTTTTGGTTTTCCAATGACTGAATCAAGAGTCCGTTTTTAAATTAAAATTTATTAAAATTAAAATTCAGATCCTCAGGCATGCTGGTCATATTTCAAGGGCTCCTTAGCCACAAGGGGCTCAGTAGCTGCTAGAGCAGACAGTGCCATTCCAGATTGTTCCTGATCACAACATAAGTCTGCCTAGAGCTTTAGTGGTGAATTAAAAAGACAAACACAACTCAAGTACCCAAGAGACTAACTTGGATAGCGATGGAGCCCTGAGGTGGGCAGAGGAAATTTCCCCTGGATCCTAACAGCCCATTTCCACCTTGTGACTAGTTTCTTACCAAAGCACGTCTGCCCGTCAGGGCCCAGCGCCGTTCCTGGAGAGCACATGCACTCGCTGGTGTCTAAACAGTTGCCCTGGCAGTCTTCATTACAGATGTCATAAAAATCTACATGGGACAAAGATCACCTTGTGAGGGGTGAGGACCAGAGGACACTCTCTTTTTGAGGACACTCTCTTTTTGAGGACACTCTCTTTTTGAGTAGTCTCACGAATGTAGCTACCATCACTTCCCATGGTGCAGGGTCTGCATCACTCAGTGGAAAGAGAAACTGCTTAGGGGCAGCTTTGGCCAATTAGATCACTGATCCCCAGCTACCGATCCACAGGGCCACGGGTGACCAAAGGGCTTCAGCAAATCTAAAACACCTCCATATCTGAGCTATTGGACTAAATGTCCATCCTATTCATCTGTGGGCTCTTAACCACTGTGCTATCTTTCTAACCCCTTATCTGTGGACTCTTAAACATGTATACACGCTGATGGAGAGATGGCTCAGTGGTTAAGATCACTTGCTGGCTTTTGCAAAGAACCCAGGTTCAGTTAGATCCCAGCATTCCCAGAGCAACTCATAATGTCTGTAATTCCAATTCCAGGGGATCCAGTGCCCTCTTCTGGCCTCTAAAGGCACCAGGTATGCATATGATGCACATACATATAATGTAGGCAAAACATACATAAAATTTCTAAAAATGTATATAGGAGCTGGGACACCAGCTTGTGTGAAGCCCTGGGTTTGATCTCTACTATCACAAAGTTTACAAAGTATACAGATTTTGATGGTATTGATAGCATAAAAATTCACTTAAAGGTATTATTGACCTCAAGTTGCCCTTTTCCATTATATGTCACTTTAGTAAGTCAATGACTAAAAAGTACAATGCTACCATATGGGAGTCTGGACATCTGTCTATCTGCCAATCCATCAACAACTATCTTACAGAGGGCTCTTCTCTACTCAAAAGATTGGGAACCCATCATTTTCAATGTTGCAATGGAATACAGACAAACTAAAACTGGGATTCATGTGGCATTTTTCTCTTAACTCCCTCTGTGGCCCTCCTGGGGAGGAAAGAGAGCACAGAAAGTACTTACGGCCACAGTAGACATGGAAGCAGACACTGGGCCTGGTTAGCCGATACACATAGTAGCCTCCAGGGCAGGCCTTGACTTCCACCGTGGTATTCCACAGGCAGCAGTTCCCTTTGAAGCTGGCACAAGCCTGGCGTTGCACAATGCCGTCACTTTCTATGGGGTGGCTGCCATTGAGCCAGACAGGTGCATGGGTTCCACAGTGGTTTTCCGGTATGCAGAAGGTGGGCATAGCATCTCCCGCCATGCCCGTGAAGCGATACCATTCCCCATCCACATGGTTGTCACAAAGGGGTTGACCTTGAGAGTCATCAAACTGGTGGTCGGTGTTCCTCCAGGGTTCGTTCAGACTGATGTAAGCAGAACAGGGATCTAGGGCTGGAAGTGAAAAGGGACCTCAGAGGCACCTGGTGACATTTCAGATCACAGTGACAGCTGGGTGTGGTAGCACATGCCTTTAATTCCAGCACTTGGTAGGCAGAGGCAGGTGGATCTCTGTGGGTTCAAGGCTAGTCTGGTCTACATAGAGAGTTCCAGGCTAGCCAGGGCTACATAGTGAGACCATGTCTCAAACAAACAACAACAACAAATCAAAAACACAGTACTTCAGGCCTGCATTTTGACTTAAAAAAAAATTCGTGTGTGTGTGTGTGTGTGTGTGTGTGCGTGTGTGTGCATGTGTGTATGTGTGTGTGCAGGTTCATATGCTCGTGTGTGGAGGCCAGAGGTCAACCTTATGGGCCCTTCCTCAGGAGCCATCTACTTTGTTTTTTGTGCCTCACTGGGCCCTGAGGCACCTATTAGGCTAGGCTGGCCAGCCAGTGAGCGCTAGGTATCCTCCTGTTTCTACCTATCTGGCATTTTTACATAGGTTCTGGGGATTAAACTCGTGCTTGAGTGGCAAGTGTGTTACTGACTGAACTATTCTGGAAGCCTGCATTTTGTTTTTGAGTTTAAGATTCGTCAGCTTGAAACTGAGGCACATGCTTCATTAATTCCCCTAACAACAATATTTCAAACCTATTTAAAGTTCTTGCTAGCTAGGCTGAACTTTCTGTTCAGAGTAGTGAGTTGATGGACAGTCAGTCAAGGCAGGTTAGAATTGTTCTTACCAAACTCTGCACTGAGTAAACCATATTTTGAGCACTGTGTTCACAATTGGAGGTTGTAATTTATCAAAGTAAATGATTGACTTGTTTGACCAGTCTTAAAAAGGAGCCCAAACATTACTTATTTGAGAAGAAGCTAAGCTAATTTCAGGAAAAAAAAAAAAAAAGACGCTGAATGACAAGCTTTAAAAAATTTGGAATAGGGGCTAGGGGCACAGCTCAGTGGTACAGCCTGAGCTCAGTATGCACTAGGGCCTTCGTTCCAACTCCAGTACCAGAATGAATGAATGAACAAATAAATAAATAAATAAATAATAAATAAAATGAATCTGGACTAGGTGTATATTAGAGGATTAGGTATTCTGTTACATGAATAAAGGCAGATCATTTGGAAAAGTACACTGTAGTTCAGCTATTCAGTTATGGATGAGGCTATATCACAATGCAGTTACCACCCCAACTTTGGAAATTAAAAAAAAGGAAAGAACAATTTGAATGGTTTTTGTAAGATAACAGGCAGAATTGTGTATGAGTATTAAGTTCAGCTGGATAAGGTGTATGTAAAGCCCATTCCACTGAAAGGCCAGCGGCACCAGCCCTGCTTTGAAAACACAGGGCAACCTGACAAGTGGCTGCCTAGATAATTTGACAGTCTGGGGCAAGAAGTGATTAGGATATTGCATTTTCTGGAAGTGACACATTTGCTGAGTCACAGGTGGCAGGAACAGTCTTCTCTTTAAAATGCCCTGAGCTATCTCAGCCCTAGACTACAATTTGATAATCCCTGAAGGGGAGGAAATGTCCTCAAACTCCCTCCCTCTCTGAAGGGAAACCTTCCCTCCTCTACCCCGCTGGCTGTGGCTCTCTCACCAAGCAAGGTTTCCAGAGAAATTTCACCGGTGATTATAAATTCATAGAAATATTTCACCCATCTCTCTGGCTCTAATTTTATGAGAAATGGTTAGATGCTCAACTTGTAATGACTTCTACAGCCATTCCCATAATGAGTATTCCATGATTTATAAAGTTTTCCTTAGTTAACTGTCATTTCTTGGTCTGCTAAAAAGTAACGTCTCCTTCCTGTTGTTGGAGAGCTGTGGCATGAAAGAAATTTATCCGTCATGTGCTGTGAAATGATAGATATAACAGTAACTGAACACTAGCCACTTGATATTTCCTAACATTGGCTGTTTCCATCCTTTTTTCCTAATGGCCATTCAATCCTTTAGCATTCTGGCCACTGGTGTCAAATTCTGTGTTTGCTCTCAATGTAGGGACTAGAATTTGGTTTTATACACATTGATCCTAATTTGCTGAAATAGCCCTCAGTGGCAGGGCTTCAAAAAGAACAACTCTGTGCCTTGCTCCCAAAGTTCCCTGCCTGCCAGAAGGCTCGGGGCTCACCAGGGCACTCATCAGCATCTCGGCTCCTGTGCAAGAATCAGCCACAAGGCCTGAGCAGATACATCTGTGTTCCCATCTTGTCACCCTGGGGGTTAGGATACCTGGCAGCCACCCCTAGATTATCCAGATCACAGCCTTTGCAGCCCCTGTACTCTGCTGTGTCTGGAAGCCTCTCCTCTGGCTCCCTCCCTTTTCACCTCTCACTTTCCACCTCTTCTCCTTTTCTGTGCTCCAATCAGCGAACCACTGTTGATGCACTAGTGTTAACTCAAGCCTTTAGTTATCCACGGCCCTTAGTTTTTACCTACATTGTCCCCTGTCCCAGAATCCTATCCAGGGCACCACATTACATTTGGCGTTCATGTCTCCTTAGGGTTCAACTCCATTTTTAATGGGTAGCCTTAAGATGCCACAGTGAGGCCCAAGTTACTGAACAGAAACAAATCTGGGTCAGTCACATTCTGAGCTCTACAGAAATGCCAAGAAGGGTGGTCTCTAACCCTATCTCCAGCATCTTCCAGTTAGAGCTTACGATCTATTGGAGAAGAAAGTGGGAGAGAAATATGTAGTAACTGGAGCTGAAACGTTCTTTTGCCTAGCTGGCCAGTTTTGTGTCAGGCCTGAGAGAAGTAGCTTAAGAGTTGCTTGGTCTGTGCAAAAAAGTAACTTGTTTTCAAAAGTCAAAGTTTATTTTATTCAGATCTGTGCCCTTCATGGGGACAGAACTTTCAGTCTCTTGTACTCATTAAGGAAAAACACTGTCCTGATCTCTAAGAAAATCTTTTTCCCCTCCGAAAGAACTATAAAAATATTTACAACATAAAGAGACTAGGATTGTTGTTACACGTACACCAAGAAATATTTAGCTCATAGGAGGGTTTGGATATGGGAGATCCATGGAAGGTTTGGAAAATGGGACATGAAACAGAAGATTCTCTGAGAATATACCCTTGGTTACCAGTGACTTTCTTTCCACAACTGTAGAACCTGGACTTATGGTACCACAATCTAACTCTCAATAATCTGTACACAATAGCAAATTGCAACAAAAAGCTGAATTGTGCCAAATTCTTGACATGAGACTCACCCATGGGTGACACTGGGGCGACCGTGATGAAGAGGCAGGTGAGAATCAGGAACTGAGGCATCTTTCTGGACCAGCCACCAGAAACAGAGTGGAAAATCCTTTAAACACAGTTTTCTTTGTTCCTTTCTCAAGCACTTAAAAAGTCTAGGCTCTTAGCAAGAAAAACTTTATCAGTGTTGGCTGGGACCTTATCAGAGGAAGAGGATGAGTAGGATAAAATGTCCATGGTTCCGGCCTTGACCCCAAATAGAGGCACCACTTTTCACAGTCAACAGGACTATTGTATTGATATATTTCTTCAGAGAGAGAAAAAAATCTTCCCCATCCTCTAGCCTCCTATTGTTTTCTCTGAAGAATTCCCCCATAAGGGAACCTCTAGTATCTTATCCAGAAGGGAACTCTAAATGAGGGACATCCCCTGTGTCAGAATCTTGTTTTGTGACTTCTAGGAATTGACCTTACAATGTTGCAGCCACAGCACTGTACTATGCGTCTATTCAATGGGAACCGGATAAGCCACATTGTCGGAAGTGCTCATTAGGAAAGAGGCTGGGTCAAGAGGCTGACACAAAGCACAGAAAAAGTAGAGAGAGGTCTGAGAGGGGGCTGGCATTTTCTTTTTAAAAATTTATTTGTATTTTATGTGTATGCATGCTTTGCCTGCATGTATGTAAATGTACCAAGTACATGTAATACCCATGAAGGCCAGAGGAGGGTGGTGGGTCCCCTGGAGCTGAAGTTACAGACTGTTAGTCCCCATGTGGGTGTTGGGAACTGAAGTCGGTCCTCTGGAAGAGCAGCCAGTGCTCTTAACCACTAAACCATCCCTCTAACCCCAGCTGGTGTTTTCTTAAAATAAGCTCCTGGGTTTCTCCTGTTCTAGTATCTGGTCTCAAAGCTTCCTAAAGAAACAAACCTTCACTTGTGCTTTTTCCAACCCCAGCAGCGTTACCTAGTGTTTCTGTGGCACATTTCTTCCCCGGACCAGCAAAGGCATCAGTGTTATTCATTTCACTAATTCTCACACTGAAATAGGGCTAGGGACTTAAAATTAGGAACTACTCATTAAATCAACAACACTGGAAAGTTCAGTGTCAGAACTGCCTAGACTTCTACTTTTAGATAAAAGAGGGACCCCATGGAGACATGTACATCATATGTCACCAGGCACAGTCACAGTCACTTCAGGAGTGTGGTTCACTGGTTCCTGACATTCTAGGGTTGTGGGCACCTGAGAATTAGCAAGCATTGTGTGGAAGATGATGTAAAGGGGAGGATAAGGGAGGGGTAAAAGTTTGTTACACAGCATTTTAACCAGAGATCTGAGAGAAATGAAATTCTCTCCACTTTTTCAACCCCAAAGCCTCAGACTTCCTTCATTCCTGCCCTCTCTCATCTGCGTTAGTTTTCCTAGTAACTACATTTCTAGTGATTGGAGAAGGAATATTCTGTCTGGGAGGCCGTCCTTAAATTTGTTTTCATAGTCTCTCTTTTCAGAATCTCTTATGTACTTTTCTTTTTCTAAATTATTGTGGCTTCTTTCCTCTAAAGGCATCAGTTCAATTAAACATTAGTGCTTGCCAGGAACCAGGGGCTACTAGTCACTAGGCTGTGACAGTAAATAAGGTGACAGTGGTCCCTACAGGGATCAAAGGCTTACATGAATCTAAACTTGCAGTCATTACTTTCTCATTGTTGGGGGACCCAGGTGATTTGGGTTGATGGCAAACCTAGCTTTTTAGGTTGATGGCAGTGATGAGTGTCTCTAAGGCTCTCAAGGCAGGGGAGGGCTGCTAAAGTGTTGGTGCTTTTGACACAAAAAACAAGCCTCACAGTTTCCTGTCCCTGAGAAACCATCTGAGTGCTTCATGTGTGCTGCAGAGAAACAGAGGATGTGGGAGATAAACCAGCTCTGCTGCCAGGATTGATTGCTGGAGTCAAGGACTTTTACCAGATAGCCCTTTGGTTCTGTAAACAAGAGTTCCCAGGGTGGTAGGATTCTCAGCCTCCACCCCTTTCTATTTTTTTCCCTTTTAGTTGACCTGCCTTGTAAAAAAATGATTAAGAATTCCAAATATATACTAAAGTAGGAAGAACAATAATGAACATCTTGCTCCAATATTCAGTAACACTTTATTAATCTAATTTCATTCATATACTAGTATGTGCTCCGACGATATGTTTTGTTTTTTATTAAACATTTTTGACTTATTAATATTTTATGTGTATGAGTATCTTGCCTGTATATATGTAAGTGCACCTCTTTTGAGCCTAAGGAGGTCAGAAGAGGGCATCAGATCCCCTGGAACTGGAGTTACTGATGGTTGTTAGCTGCCATGTGGGTGCTGGAAACTGAACCTGGGTCCTCTGGAAGAGCAGCCGGTGCTCTTAACCACTGAGCTATCTCTCCAGCCCCTGGTCTTTGTTTTTTACATAATCACAAGGCTTTTATTACATCTATGAAAATCAGGAATAGTTCTTTAATATATAGTATCCTGTCCATATTTAAATTTTCCCAATAGTTCCAAATACTTTTTATTGCTGTTGAGTCAGGATTCAGTAAGATTTCTACTGTAGACTACATTTTGTTGCATCACTTAAATTTTCTTAAGCTGTCCTTCCATTTCCTCACATGCAATTTGTTAAAAAGACCCCAGTCATCCAACCATCGGTCCTACAGAATGTTCCACATTTTGGATTTGGTTACTTGCTTCTTTGTCATGTCTTTTAGTGTCCCCTTCCTCATATTTAATATTAGTACTTGTTCACATTTTCCAGGTCTTCTAAAGTATGTGTTCTTAGGATTTAAAACAAAAAATACTCTGTTGACACAGAAAGAACTTATTGCACAGAGGGCAGCATTAGAAACAGACCAATTAGGAGGTGGATACATCCATCTGCTGTTCTGGAGAGACCTAGGCTAGATTGGCAAATGGACAGCTGCCATAGACTAGTAGCTGAGATGGACCCAAGGAAAGTGGACCCAGGATGGAACCTTGGGGAAGCTTAACACCAAAGATGTGATCAAAGGAAGGAGACTCTGCAAGGGAGACCAAGCAACCGGGGACTTGTGGGAGGAAACCCAGGAATGGAGTCACAGAAGCTGAGGTGTTCTAAGGAGAGGGGTCTGTTCAGCCTGTGAGGCACTTATAAAAACTATGCAAATTCATATAGCAGTAACTTTATATTCAGTAGGCTTTCTCAAATTAACCCTATATTTATCCTGAGGAAATAAGCCAGAAGGTGCTTTATGGGAGACAAGATATTTGACTTATTTGGGAGAGCAAAGAAGGAGGTTGGTGGTACTGATAAAAATGAATGACATTTATACCATTCCCTCTAAGGTTCAGAGAACACTGAGGAAGAGGGGGCAGGAAGTGTGTAAGAGCCAGAAGACGGTGATGAGTTGCAAAAAGCCATTTCAATCATGAGCTTACAACTATGGTTACCTGCACTGGGCCTGCACAAGATTGGCCTGGTCAACAATCAGTCATGGGTGGGAGATGGGCTCATGGGGCCCTACCCCCTTACTGCTTAACTGTTGACTACTGATAGATTTTGGGAAGGGAGACTCACTGTCTTCAGCCCACCAGGCTCTGATGGCTAGCGCCAAACCACGGTCAATGGACAGCCCTGGTTAAACTTGGTGGGTCACAGAATAAAATGGATGTGTGAATATAAGGAAGAGAGCTTCAGATAGGAGAGGGGTAGGCAGGGGTGGGAGGGAGATGGGAGAGGGTCAGGGTGAGAGTGGTCAAAATGCATTATGTACATTTGTGAAATTATAAAGAACAACCTTTGAAAACCAAGACAAAACAGATGACAATATAGTTTTGGTGAAAGTGAGTCCCTAAATCTAAACAGTAAACAGTTTTCCTTTTCTGTGAAATTCTTCCAAATAGCTTAAAACAAACAAACAAACAAACAAACAAAAATCCAACCTACTCAGGGCCATTGTGAGAGAGGGGTTAGAAAGGCTGTGAGGCAGGGGTGGGGCACGACCACAGGTTTCTGGGAACTTGCTCATATGAACTTACAGCAATGGTGACTGCATGCACAAGACCCATGCAGACTCAAACCAGACAAAAATCCAACACAGAACTGGGGAAACAGGCAAGAAACCCCTTCCTTAGCTGAGGAACTACTGGCAGCTGATTACTGCTGGGTGAGGGAGAGTTGACCTTCTTTGAGTGACCAAGTGCCAGTGGATGAGGAACATCTAGAGCTATAAACTTGACTTGATAAACCTTAACATATATGACAGAATGCATGAAATCCAGTGGGGGGGGTCCTGGGGGCCAGATAGGGGAGGGGTCCTAAATAAGATTAAGAAACACACAAAAATTCAGTAACAAATATATATTGAAAAAAAAAATCCAGCCTATTTATACTTGTCTTTAAAAGCATCCATTTACCTGCTGTGTACTGTGTCTTGGCCAGTAGGGTTTCTTGCTGGTCCAGAGCTGGTCACCACTTATCAATCCTCCAGCTGGTCAGGTACGGGATGTCACGATTCGCTGGAGTCATGACACAGATGTCCTCTAGCTTCCTTCTCTTCACTTTGTCTACACCAGTGTTCTCAACAGAATCACCAGCAGTGCTTGCTAAACACCTGCCGCTGGCTCCGCTCTAGAGATGGAGAACTTGCATGTCTAGCAACTCCCAAGAGGGGTCATGTGGCTGCTCTGGAGGTCAGGCTCTGAGAACCCTCTGTGACGGCTAATCCTGGGTGTCAACTTGACTGGATCTGGGATTAACTGAAATGAGAGAGATCTTCTTAATTGGATCATCTGAAGCTGGAAGATACACCCTAAATGTGGCTGTTACCTTCTGATGGCAGCCCGTGTAAAAGGCCATGGCAGAGGAAAGCACTTTGCTTTTTGCCGCTTGCCTTCTCTCTCACTGGTGAGTTTGTCTTGCTGCTGTAGACTGAAGACTAGCTGATCTTTGGGAATTTGTCAGACCTCCAGCCCCAGATTGGGAACACTGAGACATCCAGCCTCGTGGACTGAGCGACTACGAATTCTCAGCCTCTCCAGTGTGGTGCAGTCATCGTTGGACTACTCGGACTCTATCTTGTGAGCTAAGCTGATAAATCCCTATACATATTCATTCTACCGGTTCCGTTTCTTTAGAGAACCCTAATACACCCTCCTACCATTTCCAACTCTAAAAGCTTGTGCTTCCTCACCACAGGTGCACTGCCACACTCAGGAACAGATCAACAATGACCACCATCCATCTCTGGTGGAAATTCACTGTTTTATAATTGGGGCAAATTATCATCTCATTTTGTAACCAGCTACTTGCTTTTTGGTATGACTTTGACTAAGGTGGCAACATGAGGTATCTTATCTAGTTATTGCTATAAATTTGATATATCTAGTCTTAGTTTATATTTGAACAGCTTTCTGGAGTCTCAGGTAATCAAGGTGGTTTGAAATTAAGGAGTTTTTTTTTTTTTTTTTCCTGTATGTCAGTGCTGTTTTATTATTGGCTGCAGAGGCCACTTGAACTTTGGTGGCTCAGGAAAATATTTCCAATATAATATCTACTTATGTTCAGGAAGAATTAGTGAAATGTCTGATTTTGAAATACAGGTTCTAGGAAGAAAGCTTAATTTGATAATGGCATTTTTATTTATATATACTGAGTCTTTGTGCATTTCATACAATAGATCCTGATCAAATCTAGACCCCCTCCCATCCGTGCCCCACATAACCCCCACCAGATTTCATGCACTTTAAAAAAAATATTATTTTTATTTTCTTTTATGTGTATGTGTATTGCCTGCATGTAGGTGAGTGCACCCATGTTGTGCAATGCCCACAGAGGTCAGAAGTGGCTGTTGGATTCCCTGGAACTGGAGTTACAGACAGTTGTTAGCTGCCATGTGGGTTCTAGGACCCAAACCCGGATCTTCTGCAAGAACAGTCAATGTTCTTAACTGCTGAGCCATCTCTCCAGCCCTCATGCATTCTTTTAAGTCCTATCTGGTCAAGCATTTGTACTCAGATGTCCCTTGGTGCAAGTTCATCCACTTGGAGTCTAGTCATCTAGAGTCACTCCCTTAAAGATCTTTCCCTTACCTGACAGTAATCAGTTGCCAGTAGTTCCTCGATTACAGTTGGGGCCTGCTGCTCATTTCCCCAGTTCTATGCTGGGTTTTTGTCTGATTGAGTCAGCATGGATCTTGTGCAAGCTGTCACCATTGTTGCAAGTTATATGAGCAAGTCCCAGAGGCCTGAAAGCCTGTTTCCCTTATGTTCATCCACCAACCCTGATAATGGTATTTTTATAAAATCTAATTTTAGAATCACATGAAAGTTAGATTCTTTCTGGTTTTGTTTTAAAGAACGAGATGCTCTGATTCAAAAATTGAATAAGTATTTATTGTTCCAGAAGGTACATTTCTTTTTATACATATTTCATAAATGATACAGGATTGTACACATGTTCAACATTTCACTATTGGTAAGGACTGTTCTTCATGTCCTCCCTCCCACACCCCCCCGAGGATTTGCTCATTACGCTGTGCTGCTGCTTCTTAAAAACCCTGTACACAAACAGGATAAATGGTTTAAAAATAATCCACACAACAAAAAGAAAAGAGGGAGAGGTTGAAGGATGGGAAGGAAGTAGGAGCTGGGGAAAAGAGACATGCATCCTTTCATTCTGTCATGCCAGTGAGGGGTGGGGGGGGGCAGCAGTCCCTGGCTGCCCTTCAACCTCTGCAAGGCACCTGGAGTCTGGGTTTGTCCTTTAAAGGTTTTCTTTCATACACAATGATCCCAAAGGAGGAGGAAAAAAGAAACCCCTTGCCGCATGAGGAGGGATGAATCGTGTGAAAGAGCCGGCCAGCTGTGGGGCAGCCCCAGCATCCTAGCAACCCTGCCCCACAACAGTTAAAAACAGGACCCTTGGCAGATTCCTTTGACTCTCCGGAGGTCATCTGGAAATATGGTAGAAAACATCCTGCTAGAGTGTACAAGTCTTCTGTCTCTCAACTTAAGATAAGAAAAACAGGGTGGAGAAGGTAGGCTAAAGCAAGCCAATAGAAATGTACTCCTGTATAAAGATAAATTGCACCCTTTGAGGTCCACACCCTTGATTTACAGCAACTGGAGTGGTAGAGTTGGGAGGGCTCACAATGGTGTGGAAGTGTGTGTGTCCTAGATTAGCCAAGACTCCAGACACCTCAGGGCCTTCCAGGTGGCCTGGAATGCTGTCACACAAGCAGATAGATAGCAATGAGATTATTCTGGTTCTGAAAAGGCCACACAGCCACGATTTTAGCCAGTTTGTAAACCTTATATCTTCCTGATTTGGTAATACAGCTGAACATTTGCCCTCTGATCTGTGACATGGAGGGGGAGGGGGTTATCAATGGGACAGGCTATAAAGGAGGGAATCTTTCCTCCTCTGAAAGACTAATTAGTAAAAAACAAAACAAAACAAAAACCTCATGCAGTATTGCCAATGATTTCTAGGTACTGATCCAGACCCCTGGGGCATACAGACAGTATTGTGAGATAATCCAAGTGTCAATCATCAAATAGTCATAAATTGATTCCAATTATCATTAACCAAGAGGTATAGGTAGGTAGGTAGTTAGAAAAGGGATCCATGAGGGAGAGATTCCTGGTAACTTTGCAGAGACTGGGTCTAGTTTAAAACAAGGGCGAAGGACTCGGGCTGAGACTCCGCCAGCCCATATCATAAGGGTTTACTTTTCTCCTACATCTATTTACTCCTATGCCAAAAATAAGAAACTTTAAATAAAAAAAAAAAACAAACAGAGCTGAGTGGGGTGCTGGTGTGTTACTGTTTTGCTGACCCTGCAAAGATGCAAGAAGCGAACACCCCAGCATCGCGTCCTCTTTATGCCTCTCAGTTATAACTGCATCATTGTCATTGGAAACTGAGATGCTTGATTACAAGATCCACTAAGCCCTTTGAGCTCATGTTCCACATGCCTGATCCTTAGAATTTAACATTCCTTTCTTTGCTAAGATCCATTTGTGTTTTGATTTATAATTAAAGGTATAAAAACCCCTCTACCCCATATGGCCCCCAGCTTCCACCTGCAGTGATTTAATTAAAAAGGCAAGAGTTAAACCAGGTGTTCTTTCTGCCGGGATTCACAGGCTCTTCTCAGATCAATCCTTTTCACCAATTTGTCGGAGGGGCAGATGTACTTGTAATGGGTCTCTCAGTCTCTTAAGGTCCATTTCTGCCTAAAATAGAAACAAAAGGTGAGGGCAACTGGCTAGAGTAGCTTTCAGGGCACTAATGCCTACCAGGAAAGGAAGCAGTCTTTCCACACTACTATGAGGCAAAGAGATTTCCTCAGTTACTCTAAGAAGCAGCAGACACAGGCCTTCAACTCAGGGCAGAGCTGTCAACACAGTGTTGCCTAGAACAGTGCTGCTCAAGAGGTGCAGGGACCCTCAAGAACACACTTTGATAGCATTTCTCTAGTGAGAAGTCCTTCCACAAATTTTTGTAAGGAACCAACATGTTAACTTTTGCTATTTAAAACTTTATTTATTCAATATTCGTTTATGTATTTTACTCACCAGTGAATTTTTTATGTTGTTCTGTTTTCTGAGACAAGAATCTGACTCTGTAGCCAAGACTAGTCTCAAACTCACTGCACGCTTCCTACCTCAGCTTCCTGCGTGCTAGGATTACAGGTGTGAATCACCGCACCACTTAGGCCAGTGTTAACAGGAAGTGTGCAGTCAACCCTAGTATTTTCAAAGCCTCACACATTCTTGGACTTCATCCTTAAGTCGAATTAGTCATGGATGGGCTAACACATGTACTTGTAATAGCTCCAGAGATGACTCTGACCAGTCTGACCCCTGGCTTTACTACATTCAGCAACAGAAGGCAAAGAGCATTCACTTTGGCCAAGGCAGGAGATAGGTCAAGTCTGTTAAAAGCATCACTGTTCTGGTTAGTTTTTGTCAACTCGACACAACTAGAGTCACCTAGGGAGTTAGAGTCTCTCCCTCCTTCAGACTGGCCCATGGGAACATCTGTGGGCATTTTCTTGATAGCTAACTGATAGAGGAGGGCCCAGCCCACTATGGGCAGTACCATCCCTGGGCAGATGGGGCTGGGCAGTCTGAGAAAGTAGCTGAGCACCAGGAAGCAGTGTTCCTCTGTGGTCTCTGCATCAGCTCCTGCCTTCGCTTTCCTCAACCAGAGACTGTACTGTAAGTGAAACGAACCCTTTCCTCCCCAAGTTGCTTTGGTCATGGTGTTTATCACAGCAACAAAAAGCAAACTAGAATGAAAGGGGCAGGCCATAGGGCAGAAAGAGCAACTAAACACTACAGAGGACAGAGGACCTACGGACTGTTGAAAAACCCCTGGATCACAAGACTATGGAGAAAAGGATTGAGGATTTATTCACCAAAATGAAAGAACCACGGGGATCTGGAAGAGGTATAACTTTCATGAAAAAGAAACAGATCTTTTATTTAATTTATTTTTATTTTTTTGGTCTTTTTGAGACAGGGTCTCCCTGTAGTGCCAGCTGGCCTAGAACTCACTCTGTAGACCAGGCTGGCCTTGAACTCACAGAGGATCCGCCTGCCTCTGCGAGTACTGGGATTAAAGGCGTGCGCCACCACGCCCAGTGAAACTGATCTTTTAAAAAAGAGACTTTGACGGTGCCTGGGAGATTTCTCGGTCTCTCCTCCTCATACTTGGCTTTTACTTTGGTTCCACACACATTTTAGTTGGAAAGTCTTTGGGTCAATTATTGTAGCGATTAAAAAGAAGAGAAAAAGCAGGTAACTCTTGTTGAAAAATGGGTAATTCTGAAGAAACAAAATGGAAAAAAGTAAAGGTAGGTCTAAAAATCTCAGTGTGTGTGTGTCATTAGTTGAGATGGGACCTGCCATCTTTTCAACTACATCTGTAATAAAACCTGAGCAGATGTGGTGGCACGCTGCTGCAATCCAAGTACATACTGAGAGATAAGGTAGGAGGATCACCAGCCTGGAGATATATATATAGTCCCTGTCTCTTAAAAAATGCAATAATGACAGCACGCACAAGTCCTGTGACAGCTCAGACCACACAGAATACCAGCACAGTCATGGGGAAGTGGGCAAGAAATCCCAGCCCTACCTGAGGAACTTTTGGCAACTGATGGCTACTGGGATGGGGAAAGACAGTGTCTTACAGGATTGGGACTCTTGGTGGGCCCAGTGGATAGATCCACCCTGAAGGACATTTGGGGACACAAATCAGACTCTATAGACCATAGTATATAATACATATATATATGAGAGTTCATCAAATTGGGTGGGGGGGCAGTAAGAGGAGGTGGGGAGAGGGGTGCGGATCTAAATGTCATCAATCTATATTGTATAAAAATTAAAAAAATTCAATTAAAAATATTCCTTCAGATTTTCTTCTAATTATCTTGTTTGTTTGTAGGAAATACTACTATATGAATATAGCTTTTTTTTTCACCAATTATTTTGACAATAAAGTAACTAAAATGAATAAAAAGGGGGAGAATTGGGGATGTAGCTCGGATGGCAGAGCGCTTGACCAGCGTGTCTGACATCCTAATCTCAATCCCTGGCACCACAGAAACCAGGTGTGTAATCTCAGCACCTGGAAGGTGGGGGTAGGAGGATCAGAAGTTGAAGGTTCTCCTGGGAAATAGGAGATGCTGTCTCTAAGCAAACAAACAGAAAAGAAAACAAAACCAACTCCCTTAAAGAAAAACAGGAAAAAAAATCTCCTAGATAAGTGTCTATTGCTAGTTCTTAGTAACTAAGGAAGAGTTTACACAGGAAAAAGTGGGTTGGATCGTTCTTTCAGGTTATCCATTTGAAGAACTGTGGTTAAGGATAACAATAATGTCATTTAAGATGGGACTAAGGTTTAACTCTTACAGAAGTTACCTGAGCAATTGCATCCTTGAGTTGATTGTATTTCTCTAGATCAAAGCGTGACTTCTTGGCTCCTTTATGGAAAAATAGTAAGTATTGTCTGTCTCTGGCTTCTGGATAAACATATTCCTGAAAAAACAAAGGTGAAATTAGATGATTAGTCCCTTACTAGTACTATTCTTTAAAAAAGCATTGTTTTAGACTCAACAATATGTACAAATAAAGACAGACTGGCACATGCTGTATTAAATATTTAATTACTCCTTATTTTTGTTTGCTTTTCCTGTTCTGAGACAAATTCTTGCTGTTTCCCGAGCTGGCCTTTTGCCTCATCATCCAGAGTGGCTGGGACCACAGGCACCTGCCTCTGTGCTGGGCCATGAGTCTTCTTTTGTAGCTGGTCTATTCATTCCCCATTGCTCTGCTATATTGTAGACCATGTCATAGCTTGTATAGTTTATTGTGCTTTTGATGAACTACTGGGTTGTTTGGTGGTTTGGGCTACTGTGTATTCCTAAGAACATTTCTGGATGTATCTCCTGAGTATACCAAGTAGTAGGGATCCTAGGTCACAGTGAATCCATGTGCTCCAATTTCAGAAGTGATGGCAAACAGGTTTCCAAAATGCTTGCAACTAAGGACATCCCTCCCACAGTGTATGCGACCTGCCGTCATTCTACATCCTTGCCAAGACTTGGTAATGTCAGTTCTAAAAGCAGTCATTCCAGAGTGTGTGCAGCAGTAATATTTCATTTTTTTGAAAGAAGTTTTATTGGGACAGAATATGTAATCTGTTATAAGACATAACTCATATACAATTCACCCATCGAAAGTACAACATTTAACAGAAGTATATTCAGATTTGTACAACCATTCCTATAACATCTGAATAAAGCCATCACCCCAAGGAAACAATGTCCCATAGGAGTCACTTCTCATCTCCCCACACCCACTACCAATCTGCCTGTTTTGTTTGTTGTCTTGCTATATTGCCCAGGCTGGCCTCAAACTTGTGGTGATTCTCCTGCCTCTGGCTTCTGAGTGCTGCTGGGATTATAGGTGTGTGCCTCCACATGAGCTCTAATCTACTTTGCTTCTATAGATCTGCCTATTTCTGCCCATTCATGTAATAGAAATCATATGACATGGACTCTTTGTGTATTTGAACAACTGGTCCCCAGTAGCTGGTGCTGATTTGGGAGGGTGTGTAATCTTTGGACTTGAGTCTTAACGGGCAGAGGTAGGGTCCTAGGGATAGGACCTGAGTTACAGGCTGCTTTGTTTCTGGCTCTCTGGTTCCTGGTCAGCCACTGAGATGTAAGCAAATTGCATTGTATGCTCCCATCACCACAGACAGAGCTGCCTGCTGCAGCCATGCTCTCTGTGTCATGATGGATGTGAGCCAATGGCCTGGCCCCATGACTAATCTCTTCCAGTTGTACCTCCCATCACAAATCTCTAGAGGCTCCCAAAGATCCTCGCCAGCTGGGGAGTGTGTATGTTCCAAAACCTGAGCCTGAGGGGGACACTGTATGCACAAACTATAACAATAACTTTAGAAATTATTATTTTTTATTTTATGTGTATGAGTGTATTGCCTGTATGTGAGTGCACTCATGTTGTGCAATGCCTCAGAGGTCAGAAGAGGGCTTCAGATTCCCCTGGAACTGGAGTTAAGGACGGATTATAGCCGCCATGTGGGTGCTGGGAATTGAACCTGGGTCCTCTGCAAGAGCAGTCAGTGCTCTTAACTGCTGAGCCATCTCTCCAGCCCTGACATGGACTCTTGTGCCTGGCTTCTTTCACCTAGTACAGTGCTTTCAAGGCTCAGCCACTTGGAGCATGGATCTGTATTTCTCTTAGTAGATGTGTCACATTTTGTTTATCAGCTCATTAATTGGTAGTATCTAGATGTTTGCACCTTTTGCTTGTTGGGAATAATGCTATGAACATTTACATGAGAGCTTTTGTGTGGACATTGGCTTTTGGTCCTTGTCATTCTGGTGGCTGAGGCCTTTTCATTTCATGTACACTGGCCACTTGCATATCTTCTTTGAGAAATGACACTCAAAGCCCTTGCCATTTAAAAATAGTTATTCTTTATGTGTATGTTTTGCCTACGTGTATCTAAGTGCACTCATGTCATGCAATACTCCCAGAGGCCAGAAGAGGGCATTGGATCCACTAGAAATCCAGATATGGATGGTTGTTAGCCGCCATGTGGGTGCTGGGAAGTGAACCTAGGTCCTCTGCAACAACAGCCAGTGCTCTTAACCACTGAGCCATTTCTCCAGTCCACTTATCGCCCTTTTTGAGACAGGGTCTCACTGTGTAGTCCTAGCTGGCTGGAACTCAAGAGGAATCTGCCTGTCCTCTGAGAGCTGGGATTAGAGGTGTACACTACCATGGCTGGGCTCATTTTTCTTTTTTATACTTCTTTTGGAGTTAGCATACAAAGCAACGGGTTTCATTACAGCATTTTCATACAGTTAGGCTGTACTTGGCTCTCACTCATTTTCCTCCCCCAGTATCCCCCTTCCCACCGTGTTGGTTCCCTTCCATCCCCTAGACAGTCCCTGTCTACATTTCCATGTCACATGCATTTCATTATCTTCTTTTTCCTACTTCCCTTAAAATTTCTTCCTCTTCCTTTATGATGCCATTTCTAGGTTCATAACCTACTCATCTACAAATGCACCCATCTATATGCAGCTAGACATATACACACAGGCACATGGGTGTGTGTAGTTTTTTTTTTGTCTTTTTGAGACAGGGTCTCCCTGTAGCCCCAGCTGACCTGGAACTCACTATGTAGACCAGGCTGGCCTTGAACTCACAGAGATCCGCCTGCCTCTGCCTCCTGAGTGCTGGGATTAAAGGCGTGCGCCACCATGCCTGGCAGGGGTGTGTGTAGTTTTATGTGTGGTTCCACAGGAGAGAAAATGTGCAGCGTCTGTCTTTCATAGCTGGCTTATTTCATTTGACATATGCTGTCCAGTTCTGTCCAGTTTCCTGCAGATGTCAAGTTTTCATTTGTCTTCATGGTAAAATTCCATTCTGGAACTTCCACACTTTCTTTGTCCATTAATTTGTGGTAGACAGCTGGGCTGGTTCCATTTCCTGGCCAGTGTCAACAGTGCAGTGATGATCATGGGAATGCAAGAGTCTCTGCATTTTTCTATTGAATTGTCTTTTTCTTATTGATTTGTAAATTTATATGGCTTTTATATATGGATTTTTGTTGGATTTACATGCTGCAATTTTCTCCTTTTAGCCTGCTTACCCTCTTCATGGTCTGCTTTCATAAATACAAATTAACTGAGACATCGACTTAGTTTTCACGCTTAGGCTTTAGTATTAGCAGTTACCCTCTCATCCACAGTCATAAAGCTGATCTCCCATCACTGTGTTATCTTCATGGTTAGATCTGCAATCTGCCTCAAATTAATTTTTGTTTTTAGTGCAAAGATAGGGCCATTTCGGTTTTTACACAGCACCATCTTTCCCTTGTCTTCTGGACTGCCGGGACTTTCCTGTTGAAAACTGAAGAGAAATAGTGCTTTTCCCTAGTCTCTGGCAGTAGGAGACTATTAGAACACTACTTACTTATTCTAGAACTATATGCCAATGTTGTTACACATTTTAATGCTTTGTATTTTAAATTCCATGTATATTTTATAATTTTATAATTTAATATTCATTTAGAGTCATATGCTTATGTTCTCATTGTTCTTCATTCTTTCCTGTTTTTCTCCTTATGTGTGTGGGTGTGTGGTTGCATACACTGTGTGTGGGATGTGCATGCCCATGCATGAAGGCGGGAGGAGGAAGCCAAATGCCTTTCTCCATCACTCTCTACCATGTTTCCTTGAGACAGGGTCTCTCACTGAACCTGAAGCTCCTGGGTTTTTTTTGGCTAAGTTGGCTGGCCAGCAAGCCCCAGTGATGATCCTGTCTCCAGCCTTTTATGTGAGTGCTGAGGCTCTAAACTCAAATCCTCAGGCGTGTACAGCAAGTGCTCTTACACACTGAGCCATCTCTCCAGCCTTCCTCTTTTTTTTTTTTTTTTTTTTTTTTAAATCTGCGAGTCTTTGTTCTGCCCAAGGAACATCCTTTAGTGATGGTGACAATTCCTGTTTGTTTGTCTGAAAACATTTTTATTTCACTCTCATTTTGAATGGATATCTTTGTTGAGAACAGAGTTCTAAGCTGGTAGTTTTCTTTTAGCACTGTGAGGATGCTGTTCTACCATCCTTGGCTTTTGCTGTGTTGCTGAGAGATAAATACTCCACCCTTGGAAAAGGCTTTTCTTCCCCTCTGGCATCTGAAGTTCTGCTACTGATGCTGTCTGATGTGGACATCTTTGTCTTTATATTGATCTGTATTTGGTGTGAGTCTTTTTAATATATAAATACGAACACATATATGTGTATGTGATATATAAACACATAGATGTAGGTGAACACATATGGACACCTTAGGTGTGATTCCTCAGGAAGGACATCCAAATTATTTTTTTGAGACAAGGTCTCCCCATGTTCTGGAGCTTGCCAAGCAGACTAGGCTGGGCTGGCCTGTGAGCCCCAGGGATCACTTGGCTCCGCCTCCCCAGCGTGTCACTACATCCAGCCTTTTACATGAGTTCTGGGGAACAGAACTCAGGCCCTCATGCTTGTAGCCCTTGTTTGGATTCTTAAAACTACAAATTCATGTCTTCCATCTTTAAAAAGTTCTCAGCCACTAGTTCCTAAAATGTGTTTTCCTTTCATCTCCCCCTTTAAGAATTAGGCCAAGCACTGTGTCCTCTGCGTTTCTTGTCCTTTCATTCAACTTTCTTTTCTTTCTTTTTCTTTCTTTCTTTCTTTCTTTCTTTCTTTCTTTCTTTCTTTCTTTCTTTCTTTCTTTTCTTTCTTTCTCTTTCCTTTCTTTTTCTTTCCTTCCTTCCTTTCTTTTTCTTTTCTCTCTCTCTCTCTTTCTCTCTCTCTTTGGTCATTTTGAGACAGGGTCTCCCTGTAGCCCCAGCTAGCCTGGAACTCACTATGTAGACCAGTCTGGCCTTGAACCCTTAGAGATCTGCCTCCCAAGTGCTGGGTTTAAAGGCGTGCGCCACCATGCCCAGCTCTGACATC